TAAATGACAAATTAAAAAGGCATGAACATTATTTTGTATCGAAAAAAACATCGAACCGTGACACCAAAGTATCGAACCGATCTGTGAATTTTGTGTATCGTTGCACCCCTACAATAAAGCTATCTATAAAGTATAGAAAAAGAGATATAAATATAAACATAACTATAAAAGGACACAAGTGTTACCACTAATGTTTCTGGGATGTTACTGATATTATAGGTGTACAGATGTGCACACGTTGTGGCGTACAAAGTGACAGAGTGCATTGAGGTATGGATGAGACGACACTGAAATAAAACCCCTTTTGACTTTTTGGTTGAAATCTGTGAGGTTTTTTTTATTTTTATTATTTGTTCCAGCAAACAGTGTCAGGAATAACGCAGAAGTTCACTGACAGTATGGTCCTGTTGTACCCAACAGGCAACACTGTGGCCAAATAAGCTCTCAGAGCACTCACTGCTTAATCTTTTACTCTTTCTCACCTCAGATCGTGAGGCTTCTGCTCTGCAGAGGCTGGACAGCGGAAGGAAAAGAGAGACTTCAGTCAGAAAATTAATCTAATCCAGTGGATATTATAACCTGAAGTTTTTCCATATCCTTCTTCTTGTTATGTATTTCAGCTGGCATACGAAAGGAACAAAGTGAAAGCTTGCTTACCTCTCCATTACGTTATCAGTGGAAATCACCGGTATAAAAAACCTTTTTACCCACAGAGCAGTTAGGTCTTGGTCTTCTCCTTGGCTCTGTTTTCTTCCAGCCCAGGAAAGATGTAAATCTAATTTGGCTGCTGTGTGAGCAAAGGTGAACGTGTGAGAGCGCAGATTCTTGCTCGGAGTGATTTGTTTCCAGCCTCTGCTCATTCCAAGAAACTCTCCCAGTACACAGCTCAAGGTGGATTATGCGCATAGTTGGATTATGAAAGTCTTTGACTGGAACTTACTGACAGCTTTCATGGCTAATTTAATTTCCAGAGAGACTGTGCAGGCTGTGACGCTCATTCAAGCTACACGTGTGGACAGCAGCACCCTGATTACTTTGTAAGTTCAGCGCACAGCACGGTTCTGAGAGTATTCGGTAGCGGAGCATTAAAGATAACTGAACGTGAGTGCGCAAGAGTGCTTGACACTTAACTCGTCTCAGCTCATACCACCGCTGCCGTGTTAGGCGTAAACATAGCGTCTGCTGTCTGAGAGCTTGGAGAGCTCTCAAACCTTCTTCTGCAGGAGAGACAGAAAAACAAAGTGCCTAAAGCCTGCTGTGGCTCCTTTCTGTTTCTATCTTCTTCTAAAATCAGAGACGTGGATTTCACTCTGTGTTGGGCCCCCATACAGCAGCTGGACACAATTCATTTCTGCTGCCTTTGTTTCCCTCTGTAAAGCCTCGCGTTACCACAGACCATGCAGCAGCGTGGAGAAAAGCACAGGACGATCTGTATTTGTCCACAGCAGAGCAGAGCGGGAGGAACAGCAGCACATTTATCTCTCTTAGTGGCGCCAAGAAAATCCAAATATGAAGGAGCGAGGAGGCACAGCTCTCTGTCTTCCTCCCCTGCTGCTGCTGCTGCTGCTGCTGGGAGATTTTCATCAAACAAACACATTTTTAAAGGCATGTGGCCGATTTTCTCACACAGTAAAATCAAATAAGACAATAGAAAATACATTTAGCATTTTAATTTGCATATCAAAACACTGAGTGGAAGTATTTTGAAATGTTATGCTACCTATTCTCCCTGTTTTATGGTTCTTGGGCATATTTGCCTTTACCGGATAGGGAAGACGGGAGAGTCACACACAGTAAATGGTCCCGGGCAGAATCAAGCACAGGTCCGTGCAGCCTTTCAGCATAGGAGGTCACCAGGTGAGCCTTGCAGGGAGAATGCTTCCACATTGACTGGCTTTCTGACTAACTTGAGTTAAGTGGGAGTGGGTTATAGCAGAGGCATTGCGGGAGAGACACAAAGAATCCACAATTCAAATCTACGGGAGAATTGCAAAGTCAGATTCTTTTTGAATGAGTGACCAATGGAACTGAAGTTCATTTATATAACGTTCAAAGTAGCTGACCCAGTAGAGCTCAAGATGGCTGCTCAGTTGCAAGGCTTCCATGTAGAAGGACTTTAGATTATGAAGTCCCCTGACTCTGACAAAACTCTTTTTAATTAATGAATTAATTTAGCCTTGAGTTCAGCATTGTTGCTACCGCCATCTTGGTTTTTTAGAACCAGAAGTGACTTGTGTCTAGGTTAGCTAGCTAAGGTGAACCCGAAGACCTTACGTGTGTCCCCATAAAGGTGCTGCATAGGCTGTCCTTCGAAGGCTGGAAGTGTTGGACGGTCTAGTTTACCAAATGCTGCTCCCTGCACCTAGCAGCCGTGACAGTAGCAGCTACAGACATTGGGCACAGTGTTGTTTTACAGAATAGAAATAGAAATCTTTATTTAATATTTTTTGTTTTACTTTTACTGGAGAAAACTGAGACCTTTTTTTGGCATGTGATGTATCAGAGACTGAGAGACACCACAGCCATGGGCTGAGTCCTTTTAGCAAACGGTTGCCAGTAAACTAGTTTTGCTAATGTAGCTCATCAGACTAATGTCATTTCATTTTGACAGTACAAATATAATAGATCCAATATTATATTAATTATTTTATTATCATATATTTTATATAATTTTTTAAATGATCTGTGGGTCAGGGTATGAAAGTGTGTGTGTGTGTGTGTGTGTGTGTGTGTGCAAGGTGTCTTATTTGTACAAGGGACAGACAGAGGTAGGCTGCACAATAACTGCTAAGTAACATGCAACTCTTAATACTATAATAAGCAAGGTAGGCAAGTCATCCATGTATGTTGAACCTTTTGATATCAGTGTGTGAATGAAGGTGGAGAAAAAAACAGAAGGTTTTCAAGTGACAGTAAATTGTCAGTTTAGATGGTATGTTTGTTGCATTTGCACGTCTGCAAGCAGTCATCGAGAGTCTGAGTGCACACGTAAAAGAATAAATTGGATGCTCATTTCATACAGACTGTATGCGCTGTGTCGTGATGTTACTGTGTTCCACATCTATGGCTCAGTTATTGCTGTGTGGCTGCACAGATTGTTTTCTGCTATTGACTTGTTCAAATAGTCCAACCAAACACAATAAACAAAGGAGCTTTTTTAGCCATCAGTAGGTTTGCCAGCATGCTTTCTTTTGCACATTTGTGGAACATTTCGATACACACACACACACTCAGTTGTAGCATGTGTTCAAGTTTGTGTCCACTGTTTGAATCACTGTCTGCAGACACAGATGCCGAAACCACAAATTGCCATGATTCATAAATTAGTCCTGGACTATTTGAAATGCCAAGCCTCACACTTTAAACATTAAAACCATTTTAAGGCTCCAGTTATACAGCTGCAGCACTCCCTTTCTTTTGAATAAGAGGTCATACACAGAAAAATAGTTTTTTCTTACCTTTTGTGTTGTCTGCAGAAGCTAAACGATAGTCAAAAGTTTTCAAGCACTCATCATGAATGTCAGTCATTTTGAGCTTTTAATGATTTCTTGAACAGTTTTTTTTGTCCACTCTTGGCAGAATTGAGTGTGTTTAAATTAGCTGCTTTCCTGCCATGAATCCAGCTTTTAAGCGTTGTTCACAAATTTTTCAATACAGTTGAATGTGGGGCTTTGTGAAGGCTTTTCAGCTGCATCCTACACACAACAACAACCACCTCAGGTCCTGGCACTTTCAATACAGGGGAGGCATGATGAGCCGATGGAGCTCTGGTGTGTCAGCCTCCTCTGCAGCTGCACCACGAACCACGCACGTACATGTTGTAGTTTCATCAATTTCTCCAAACGCTCCTAAACTTTCCTTTGTATGCTTGTCTCCTCTTATCAGCAGTAAACCCTATCTTATACATGTAGAAAATATTTCAGTTGTAGTTTGGATTTGTTCATTTTAACTCATTTAACTCATCTAAAGAAGTAACAGGTTTTTTATTTTTTTTGTGCGCTACTTTTAAAACAAGAAGACAAAGATTTGTACCACTTGTATATCGTGACAGTAAATGTACTGTTAGCAGGTGTCTTCCTGAAAAATAACTTGGATCCATAGTAAATACTATGAAACTTATCTAAACCTGCAATTGAAATAGCCTGGACCCAAATGTCATACTGCATTCGTCGATTATGTAGGTTTTTTCTCCTCCCTTTTTCTAAGTTAGAGTTCCTTGGTGCAAGCTTGAAATTTAACTTCCTTTTTTAGTGCACCCACATCCCTGCCCCTCCTTCAGCCTACAGTTCTCTGTGGCACTGTTCCATGTGAGCAGGCCTGGTGGAAGAAATTGAATTAGGCCCGTCTGTAATTGCAAGCGTTTCGCCACATAAATCAAGGAAATAAATATTGGCTGTGCTGGATCCTCCAGGGGACGCCACTCTATTTCTTTACCCTTACCCAACCCCCACCATCATCCACTCCTTCCCCCCCTCCGCATGACTGCCTACCTTTGCAGGACCTCTCAGAAGTAATCAAGTTGAGAGCAGTTTCTGCTCTGGCCAGCATTTTTATGGGGCTGCTCTGCCATTTGTTTATTGTGCAGCATTTCATGAGGATGCAGATTGGCTGCTCTGCTGGAGCCTGAACCTTTATATCTAAAAGTCACTCTAGTGGATCTTACTTCTTTGTCAGCTCAGTGTGTGTGTGTGTGTGTGTGTGTGTGTGTGTGTGTGTGTGTGTGTGTGTGCACGCACATTGGCTTTATTCGTTTGCTAAGCCTGTTCTTGAAGCACTCATGAATACTGATGGTAAATACCAAATATACACACTTGCAGTTTTCAAAGACCACATTTGCCTCACAAATACTGCATTCAGAAATCCAATGACAAATGTTTCTGTCCAAATGTTGAGCAAATTTAAAGTAAAATCTGCAAATGAAAATGAGAATGAATGCTCATTGGAATATTTGTATGCATTGTGTGTAATATAAATATGCTGGGGTTTTTTACTGTTCCATCCTTAATTGAGGTTTAGATGTTTCTCTATAGTTTTGTTAACCTTTGATTTACTTACTCATCATCTCTGCCAGTGAGATGTTAGATCGCTCCCATGCTCATATTTTCATTGCACTGAACCGCAGGTTTATCTAATGGCCCTTCTTCTCCGCAGGCATTATATCGACCTTCCTCCATGTCCATCCATTTGGGGCCAACCTCGAGTATCTGTGGTCGTACATACAGAGACTAGACTCCAAGGTAAATGTCATTAAAAAACAACATGAAACATTCAGCTACATTTCTCACTAAACCCTATTAAAGAACACATGACATACAAAATGTATGTAATACACAAAATACTCATGAGCAACAAACAAGGGATTGCAAAGGCATAATCTATGTAACCTTTCTTAGAATTGGACTGGCCATTTCTAAGAAGTTCTCTGGGTTTTGCTCGAGAGTAAGCCTATGGGTGCGTCAGTGCTTTTAGATATTTTTATCAAGCAAAAGCACAAAGCAGCATGCTGATACTAAGGCACAAAAGAACACACACATAGCAGTTTTACTTTCATTTCATTCATCTTCGGCAACAGTCTCACATACAATGCTTAACAAATTTAGTATAACACCTATAATGATTTATATAAAAAGTAATTTTTCAGAAATTGTATATAAATAACTGTAACTTGCCAACTTAACAAATAATAATAATAATAATGTGCTTTACAACTGCTTTTTCCTTGTTTATATGTAAAACATTTCAATTATGTTAGTGATAATTATATTTTAGCATTATAAATATCACGTAGACTAAAGAGCTTGCACATATTAGTGAATTAACCATTACAGAAACATAAAAGATGATTCTGATAATTATCCAACAGGTTACTTTAGGGTAGCTAAGCTGCATTTGTCACAATGCCACAAACTTCAATTCATTTCTTTTCTCAATTAATTTCAGTCGTATTTATATAGCATCAAATTACGATAACAGTCACCTCAAGGTGCTTTATATTGTAAGGTAAAGACATCCTGAGTTTAGATAGCGGCTCTGTGTTGGAATATGACACTGAAGAAGATAACAGTGGAGGAAGCAGATCCTTAAATTTAGTTACAGCCCTTTCAAAAAAATATCTACTGTAATCAGATGTATTTCCCACTGCTATGTAAACCATTATTGTAAATATAAATGTTATTAGGGAATGATCACTCAAAGGCACTACATCAGGTAAAAAGCATGAGAAATCAGATAGAAACAGATACGGGTGAGGCTATAAAGTTCGAGTTTTTTGGAGCCTCAAGTGGTCAATAGAGGAACTACAGCTTTTGGCACTTAAGTGTTGGCTTTATAATACAGCCCTAGATGTTGCCAGATGATAAAGATTTGCCATATAACAACAAAATGTGTCTAAAAATTATCCGATTTTCTTTGGTTTTTAATTAATCTAGTGAAGGTTGTACCTGCAAATCCAAGGTAGGTCTAATGTGTTTTCATAAGACCCAAAGTACCAAAGTAATATCCAATATGATATGAAAATCAAGAATAAAAGCCCCTGTAGTTTGTTCTATGTCAGTCTGATTTCTCTTCCTCTCTGCTGTCGTCGTTCAGGTATCTGCAGGGGAACTGGAGCGGCTCATGGTCCGTCTGCCCAGTATGTTCAGGCAGGAGCTGAGTGGCGTCGGTGCAACTCTGGAAAAAAGATGGAAATTCTGCGGTTTTGACACACTGAGTTCAGCGTGACACAGGAGTGGCGCACACACACACTGCGAAGACACACCAACGTGAACAGATGTGCACAATGCCTCGGACCTTTAATTCACATGTGTGTGTGCGCATGTTCTTCAGACACACGGCAGTGCAGTAGACAACAGATGACGTTCACTCAAGCAGACACTGGAAACTGTGAAAGCGACGGATTTTTTTTTTTTAGAATCCCAAAAGACATTTCACCTCTGGATGCTGGGTTCAGGTGAAATAACATTTCTTTTTCTCACTGCAGATTGTCACCACGGTGAACTGCAACAGGGTGTTATAGACTATCGTCGGTCAGCGCTGAAGACACACCCTCTGTCTGTCCTCTGAAGTGAATCATGGTCCTTGGTGTCTTGCTGTCGGTGCAGTTTGGAGTCTGAAAAATCCAGCAACAACCGAAACATCACAGACAGAGAGTTTAAAAAAAATTTATACCAAAGTTGAACGTTAAAAGATTTGATGCCAAACCTCATTTCCCTGGCAGATAAATCATCTCCTACTTAGTCCAAGAACTGGCTGTGCAAGGGAGTTTTTGCTGGGCTTCCTGTGGCATGATGGGACCACAGATAGATCACTTCCTCTTAATGGTTTGGAAAGGACTTTGTACACCAACTCTAAATCTGTCATTCAATAAAAACACATACAGAGCCCTTTAATTTAATCTTTACTGCCAGCTGATTGTAATCTTGTGTTACTTTCTGAATGTGGTGGTGAAACAATATCTAACATTATTTGTGTTGCATTTTCTCTATATTCATATTTGGGGTTTTCAAGCTTTCAGGCAATTCCCTGACTTTGTCCATAAGGAAGCGATTTTCCCCAGAATTTCTACTGGGGTGCAAATTATGTGTTGCCTCAGAGAAGATTTGCTGCTTTTAAGGCTAAAGTAAGGGAATAAAAGTCTGTGTGCACAGTGACCACCACAGATTACATGAAAGGACGGCCATTGCACAACTAACTTCAGCCTTACTCTGCTAGACTATCAGAATACAGTAAATCCCCCATTCTGTAAAAAGAGTATATCTGCAGAAAGGAGTATCTGAAATAAGATTTTTTTTTTAAGTAAAAGCAATTTAAAAGGTCAGTATACAAGAGATCTATAGGGTGTTAGAAATATCATATGTGAGAACAAATAATGGTGAGAACATGTTTGACACTGTGAATTCTTTAGGTATGCTCATTGCATTAGTTTCAATTAAGCTTTATTTATACAGTGCCAAATCACAGCGTCAGTGCTTTTTATATTGTAAGGTAAAGACCCAACAATAATACATTCTTGGTGAGGGGAAAGAGCAGAGAGAGAGAGATGGGACAAGAGACAAACTATAGTGATAATGTAAATAGATCTAATCCCAGCATAGAACCCTGTGGAACTCCAATCACTGCAGCCCGGTACCTTTAATACCTGTGGCCGGTTCTAATCTCTATTTGTGATTAGAACAGATCATGTGTCTGTGTCACATGATCTGGAATTGACCATTTCAATTCAATTCAATTCAATTTCAATTCAATTTTATTTATATAGCGCCAAATCACAACATAAGTCGCCTCAAGGCGCTTCATAGATACGTACCTGTCAGTGATAAAGTACCTTATATAGTGCTAGAAGTTTACAGTTTTAAGGCCAGACTACCCTGTGGGATTATATCCGTGAAGACTACGTGCAGTATAAGGACCTAGATTTTGCTCCTGATCAGAGAATAAGCAAGCCAAAAATCTTCAAACAGACACGTGCTACTTCACACCTGGGTACCATCGCAAAACATCTTGGATACATTTACCGTAAATAATGTGAGCCTCCATTGTTACTGGATGCTAGTGTTTACTGAGTGACAGTTTAGGGTTGGTGTGTGAACATGAGTTCGTATTTATTTCTTACTGCCAGATATTTTTTAATTGAAAAAATAATAATATACAGGCAAACTGATGTGGAGTTTGAAATAATCTGAGTGACTAAGTGTAAAAACACTCCAGGCCTGTTAGATGCTCCCTGATGAGGACACGGACACTGGAAACAGGAGGGTTAGAGGAAGGAAAGGACAATATTTGGGGGGGAAAAAACGCATGAAGATGATGGAAGTAAAGAAAGAAAAATTGCTGATTTGTCAAAGACCGATGTGAGGGATCGAAATTCAATCATTCTGCTTAATTTATTTCATTATATTGTGTAAAGAAGCTGTTCACAGAAGGCAGCAGACTGAAATGTTCCACTGCCATATTACATATTGTAATTAAATATGGTAAAATGCAAAAAACATGACCTAAGTGGTGCTACTTTTTTCAAATACAGTATCCAAAGTTAATGACTGTGACAAATATTTATTATCCTTCTGACTAGAGCGAAGGGAAGAGATCATGATGTTCGTCTGGGGACTGAAAATGATTTTTGTCATTTCCGAGTGTTTTTAAAGACCACAAAGCTGGACATGTAGAAAATACAATGCTAATGTTATTTAGCATTGCACTCCCATTAATGTTATGGGTACTCGTTCTCCTTATTTAAATATCTAAATATCTTCTTTTCTAAAAAGAAAAAAAGAATGAAAACAGCGCACTCACACACACACACACAATCACAAACATAAGGTCTATAATGATAATTGTGTGGCAAAGGTTTAGGGCAAACTAAAAACACACAGTTTAATTCAGTTGTTTTATTTATATAGCACCAAATCACAACAGCAGTCTCTCCAAGGCACTTTTTATTGTGAGATAAAGACCCTACATTAACAGAGCAAAAACCTCAACAATCAGATGACCTCCAAATAAGCAAGCACTTGGTGACAGGGGGAAGGAAAAACTCCCTTTTAACAGGAAGAAATGTTCAGCTGAACCCTGCTCGAGGAGGGGAGCTATCTTTAAAGTGAGAGGCTGTGTTGGCTGGTTGCACAAAAGTGTGGCTTGGAAGTGGAAGAGTGGAGTGCTCCACGTTTTGAATTTTCAACAACAGGCTGATACAAGTTAAGTTTGAACACGTTACTATAATAAAATACTTCTTATCACTTGCTGCTGTCTAAATCCAGATTGTGAGTTATATACCGACTGTGTATTTAAGCTTTGCTGTAGATCAGTTTGCATTAGTAATCTCTGCTTTTGTGTTGTTTTGGGTCTAAACGTTCACGCACTCCAGCAAGAAAAAGTAAGGAAACAAGTTTCATTTCATTTTTTAGGGTATTTAGCTTCCCATTTTTTAAAATTTCAACCTTTTGTAATGAAGTGATATTTTGCAGATGAATTCTCTACTCCATGCTTCTCTTTTCCCTGTAAATTCTCCATCACACCTTTCCTTGACCTCATAGTGTTTTACACTGAGGACAGAAAGCGTTATCAGTTAGAGTACAAAAGCTCTATATAAGTAACAGTCTGCTTACCAAATGGTGGTTAGAGGCCTTTTTTTGGACTATTTAGAAGTATCCTGACCACATGAGGAGCTAAGCTTAAAACTAAAACAGGAAATAACCGTCGACACATTGAGAGAGACAATGACAGATCCACAAAAGCAACATGATGCTGAAAAATATGTAACGAAACAAGAACTGAAGAAAACTGAGGAACCAAAATTTAACAAAAAAAAAAAAACAAAACAATCATGGATAGTACAAAGCCCATGATGGACATTTTGTGTGATTTTTTTTCCCACACAAAACTCAACAACCAGTTTAAGAAATACTACTTCAAAATAAAGTTTTAGCTGCTGGTCACAGCATGGATCCCAGTGTGTGACAACAGAGATTTCCAGTTTCAAGTTTCTGAAAGTTGAATTTGAACCAAAGAGGTTTGGGGGAAAAAAACTTGGATTTTCCTCCTGGGAAACTGTGAAAACAGCAATTTGTGGACAAACAGTAAATCAGGGGTTGGAAATATTTAGTTGGGTATTTAATTAGGGTAGGCTGTAGTTTTCCAGGCATGGTGGTGCCTCGGTAATATTTTATTCTTTCATTTATTTCATTGCATACATTTAACACTAGAAACCAGACCACAGATTTGGTGGTTCTGCTGGAGCTACAGCAGTACACATAAATATAGGTTTAACAGAAACACTCATACGCTGAGGTATTACATCAATAAGTCTTGCAGTAGACACTATAAGAAACAGATCGATACTACACACACTCAGCCCTGAGATCTGAGTGACAGGAAACACCAAATTGATTGATTGATCGATCATACTTTATTCATCCCGAGGGAAATTGGGTTAAGGCTGCCAGAATTTAGCTTAGTGTGATGGTCATTTTGCTAACTGCATGTGGGACACCTTGCTTACCTTTTCCCTTTAAATGTTACAGGGTTTTATGGGTTGGGAATGACATTAAAAGTGCATTTGCAGTTATTTTCACAGCAAATTTGTGGAGAAAATTACGGGTTATGGTTTTAGTGATGTGGAAGTAAAGTTTTTCTTACAGTAATACCTCTGCAAAGTGAAGCTCAGTGCAGCAACAAAACTAAATAAAAGAAGAGTGTAAAAGGAGACTGTAAATAAAAGTATTCAAACTTTACTTCTCTGGGGAATCCAGCTCACAGGATGATGTAAAAGGCTGTTCATGACCACAGAGCTGCTACTGATGCAACACGGACGTAACACACGTGGCTGCTAATGGAAACATGAGTGTGGGTGTATGTGTATGCACGGGGTATCTAAACACAAATCTAGGGCAGAGATTCACTGTCAAACACAATCTTTGCTAAAGGCTTTTTTAGCATTTTTCTCCTTCCCTGCTCACAAATCTCTTTCAGCTCAAGAAAAATTAATTCCATGGAGGAATCACTGACTCACTGAAGTTCCTGCAAAGGAATTCACACCCGTTTTCATGGATATATTGCTGTACTGCAGGCACGCCGTCTCTTCTACTGCAATCCCTCCCAAACCCGCAGTTCCTCTTTATGTGCTGAGACTGAATGTGAAGCACATTTTAGAAGTGGATGAATCAAATAGAAAGGCAATGGAAAGATGCAGATGAGTGCACACAGATAAACCGAAGCCTCAGTTTCTAGCTTTTGATTGGTTGCTCTCGAGTGTGTGAACCTTCACGTTCCATATGCTTTCTTTATGGCCATTGGTGGTAATGATAACCGTGCACCCGCTCTGTCACTGGAAAGCATTCGTGGAGGAAATATCAGATCATTGCGATCAATATTTTAAATCTTGAATGCTTCACTTCTGGTTAAAATGTAGTCGATAGTGGTAACATTGAAGTGGTTTACAATTAAAGGTCACAGGATTCTGTGTGCAAAGGAACAAACTCGAGTTATTTAGATAAAAGAGTCGGGCAATAACTGACTTTTTTCATAATTCTATAAGCGATCTATAAGATTTTGTGCTGCACAAGGCAAAAGTCTCCCTCACATGTACCATCAGTCATGTTGAGACTTGGAGTTTTTCAGTCATGTTGTAGAAGATGTGCTTCAGATTATTGTTCTGCTGCCACATTTTGGTCCAAGCTTTAGGTGCCGAATTCTAAAATCATTCATTATTCT